TCGGGTCCCCCAAAGATGGTCAACGCCCCCACGTCAGCAGGAAGCAGTCTTAAGAATTCGACGCCCTTATTCCTTAACCTGCCATGTCTAAACACCCCACCTTTTTTTAATAATAAGTAGAGGTGGGAATGAAAGGTTCAGGCATTATGCTGGCCTGCCCCTGTTACCTGGTGGAATCCACTCAGGCAATACCCTGGTCAGCCCAAGGTTCCATGGGAAAGAAGTCTGCACGCAGGTGCAGAGGACCCCTTTAAAAGATAGGCCCCTGCACCTTTCTCTCTCTCTCTCTCTGCCCCTTTACGCTCGCGCTCTCTCTCTCCCCCCCCGCCCCCCCTCACAGTCCCCTCTCTCTGTTTCCCCGCTGTCTCTCTATGGCGACCGGCCATGGCGGTCAGCCATTACCCTGTCCCTCTTAGTCTCCCCATTCCATTCTACCGGGCCTTATAATAAACTTATAGTCTTAAGTCAATATGTCTGTCTCAATATTTCTCTTTTCTTCTTTTTAAACAAAAGAATAACACAATACCTTATGTCTGAGCCTCAACACCAAAATAAATGAATGATAACAGCTTTTTAAAAGTAGCATAAGGAATCTAACATGGAAATACGAGAAGGCAAAGCTTATGTGTATGACCATCCACTCTGAGCATATCCAATCTCAAAAACTAAGCAGGGGTGGTCATGATCACTGTTTGGCTAGCGATAGAATGTTTGAGATAACCAAAGACCACAATTCAGATCTTGACAACCACTTTCTGTCTTGGTTCACAGGACACAACTTATTCTCATTGTTGTATAAAATGATCTCACGTGCTTTACACTCAGTATATACACCTTTCTCTTTACCATGTAAGCACAGGCTTCAAGGACACACACACACACACACACACACACACACACACACACACACATACACACCACACGCACGCACGCACGCACACACGCACGCATGCATGCCCTTCACGATTGCTAACTATCATTGTGGTGGCTGGTAGCACAAACAAATATATGCAATTTAATGAGCTGTGGTGTCCACTTTTAAAGTAGACAAGAGCAATCGATTTTCAAAATCAAAACCTATGGAAATATTACTTTCTGTATCTCTAATGAGCTCTACCTATGATTACCAATGGCTCAGATTTTCTCTTGGGTTCCTTATTCTTTCAACGGGATAATGTTTCCTATGGCTATTCGCTAAAATAAGGATTTTATCCAAGCAGCACGTGGAAATGACAGTCGTCCTGATTTAGTAACCTGAACTTATCCTCCTTTTACGAGGCATAAAACTTCCTCGGTAAATAAGCAACACTAATGAGATGTTTGTAGGAAAACTAGCACCCGCGGTGCTAGAGGAAACATCGGTGTGGCCTGTAAACACCCATTTGAAGGGTGATATAAAGGTCTCAGGGGGGAAGGAGATGTTTGGAGACAAGACCTCGGCACTACAGCATCCGGTCTGTTCATTCCTTCACAGAAGATGGCTTCTGATGGCTCCCCTGGGTGCTGCTCCTCTGAGCCCTGTGCAGAGGCTCCGGACTGTGCGGCTGCCTCACCCTGTCCCACCGATACAACTTGCCTGCCCAGTACCTGTGCCACATCCAGATGTCAGACCCCGAGCTTCCTCTGCAGGGCTCACCTCTCAGCCGGTCGCCTCTCACCCTGCTACTTCGCTGGCGGTTGTAACAGTCCGTGCCTGGTGGGGAGCTGTGCATGGTGCGAGGAAGGGGCGTTCAACAGCAATGAGAAGGAGACGATGCAGTTCCTGAATGACAGACTGGCCAGCTACCTGGAAAGGGTGAGAAGCCTGGAGGAGAACAACGCGGAGCTCGAATGCAGGATCCGAGAGCAATGCGAGCCCGATGCCCCATTGGTGTGCCCAGATTATCAGCGTTACTTCGACACCATTGAAGAACTCCAGCAAAAGGTTGTGTGTCTCATTCCCTAATGTTCTCTGTTTCCTGTTTCAGAATTCTCTTATATTTACAGTGGCGCGGGTTGTTTTATGGATGTAAAACCAGGGAGGAGGGATTCCCAGAGCTGGTATGCTGCCAGGAAAAGAGGGCCATAGATGGCAAGAAATCTGTCTCAGTATCAGCACTATTGACCATAGAAATGTCATGTCTGTGTGTAGACTATGTCATCTACAGAGAGGGGGAATCTGAATTATGATATCTAAAATCTGTTCTGCATGTATCATTACTTATTTATATTCCTTATCAAACAGACATCAAATGCCATCTCTTTTAGTTCACCTGGTAATCATTTTCCTTTCGTGTGCATGTAGAGAGGGAATACAAGCTGTCAATGAGGCCTGAGGTCAATGGCAAGCGTCTTCCACTCCCCGCCTTGTGTTTTGAGACAGAGTCTCTCAAGGGACCTGGGGCTCACTGATTTGACTCACTGGGTGGCTGGCCAGAGAGTCCCAGGGATACTGCTGTCTCTGTCTCCCCTTGCAGGGGTAACAGGCACACACTGCTATACTTAGCTTTCTATACATGAGTTCTACGGTTTGAACCCGGGTCCTCCTACTTGTATTGCAAATGCTCTACTGACAAAGCCTTCTTTCTTTTTTCATTGATGAATTTCTATGACCACAGACAGAGATGCAACTCTAATAAATATTAGCAGTGGAGAAAACTAACAAAGCTCAGCTGTCAATGATGACTGCCAAATGTCCTGCCTTGTGTCACTTATAAAGGAAACCTTGAGATGCAGAAATGACTCAGCAGTGGATAGCAGCACTGTAGCGCTCATGAGCAACCTGAGTTCAGTTCCCAATACCCATATATGGCAGTTCACAACCACCTATAAGTTCATCTCCCGAGGACCTGACACTCTCTTCTGGCATCCTAAGGCAAAGAACAAGTCTACACACACACACACACAGAGTCAGAGAGAGAGAGAGAGAGAGAGAGAGAGAGAGAGAGAGAGAGAGAGAGAGAAACACATACACACACACTCTCACACACAAT